TCAGCCTGGACAAATGTTGAGTTCATAACATTGCTTGTCCTTATTTGTTTCCAAGAATATTACTATGTCATATCGAAGACTGACACTTTTATTTCCGAGGAGAAATTACACAAGAGAAGAGAAGATCTATGAAAATGAGTGGAGGAAAACTATGTATTAGTGAAGTTCATATAGCTTGTCTCTATTGACCCGTAGTCATAAAAACATGATTACATTTTTATTTCCCTTTGTTCTCTGAGTCCCACTATGAAATTTAACTCCAAGTCAAGGATTTGAGTTTTATTACTCCTTGCTGCTTACCTTGATTCTTTGAAATTACTCTTATTTCTTTTAAGTCTACTGGTTCGTACCAAATTAATATACCATAGTGTGACAAAATATTATTAGTTAGGTGGAAAACTAAACTATCTGGGATTCAATCACAGTAGAGGATGGTATACTCTAAGTCTGAATGATCAGATTTTTTTTTTCTTTCATTTCTGGAAACTTGTTTGAAATATCCTTTACTTTTAGTAACTTAGACCTCAATGGCCGCTCCATTTAGAGCTCGCCCCTAGCAATTGGTTGTGGTGGTGTTACTACAGGAGGCCTGCCTCTTGTCAAAATTACCAAATCCTTCAACCATGAAAAGAAAAATAAATTTGTTCTTTACATACTGTTTCATCTCTTCAAAATTACTTCATCAGAGACCTGTATGTTGGTGGTGACATTTTCTGTAGAGATACCAACATATTTAACCTGAATAAAATTAGCTGGAGGAAAAAGAAATCTAAAGGAATACCTCATCCCACTTTTATTAGGGTAAAGGAAATATGAGACTAAATTATTATCTTTTAACTTTTCAGCCAGAAGCTCTGTTTTCATAAATCTAATTTATGTGCTCAGTAGACTACTGCAGTTGATTTATATGTTTTTTAAGTAGTTGAAATTCTTGTTGGACCTATTAATAATTCCGGAATAAGTAGATTGCTTGCAAGTGGGTCATTATTGCTCTATCCCTACCTCTGATTTAGGGAACTTGAAGATGTTTTTAATCTCTCCTATAAGTCTAAGCCTATAATAAAAGTTCTATATCCCAGCATGTTTTGTATTAGAGCCCAGCCCTTTCCAAAGAAAAGAAAAGGTTATCAGAAATTATATTTCTCTTTGACCTTTCCAATCAAGTGGGTTGTTTCATGTCCTTTATATTGCATGTAAAGCTTAGATGTATATTAAACTATGGACAGAATTAAATAAAATAAACCAAAGCACACAACGTTACAGGATATTTTACAAATAACATGTCACCATGAATTTGTAAAGAAATGAAATACATTTTGAGCATTTTCTTGAAATAATATATCTAAATTACCACTTCCCATATATGGCTTGTTAATGAAAATCATGGAGTGGAGGCCGAACGGAGGCTTCTTCCTGGTGAACCTAAACCATCTGAACTATTTCATACCCAATAGTAGAAGGGGTTTGGGAATCATCTGTTAAAAAGACATTGTCACTGTACTCAGTTTACATGTGTATTCATTTGGTTAACAGTGTATTTATGTATAATTTTGTTATAAGAAAAGTCGTTAGTTGTTTATTCTAGTAGAAGAACAAAGAATTTAGGGGGGTAAATGTCAACATACATTGAGTTGAATTTAGAAGCGTCTGATTTCCCATCCAGTAACCCAACAAAGTATAAAGTCTGTCCTTTGATTTTAAAATCCCCATTTTCAGCTGAAAAAGGTCTCTGAACTAGAAGGCATCTGGCATTCATGGGTTATGGGATGGTATGACCCCCTTTGTGTGGCTACCTTTCTTAAAAATTATCACACCTTTTACACCTGTCCCTGATGCCTACTCTATTTCATCTTTGTTATTGTTGTTAGATGACCACTTTTTATTCATTAAGAATGTATATTTCATGTTCTTGTTTTAGCTGAGTCTTCTCAAGGGTGTTCAAAAGCGATTGTTGATTTAAAATAATGCCATATCAGTCACATTAATTGTTGTTTGAGTGCCAGTCAAAGGTATGACAGCCAATTGTATGTATGTGTGTATGTATATATGTATAGATATATATATTTATGTTTTTAAGTCCTCTTTTTCAAAGCCATTCAAAAAGAATATATTAAGCCTTCAGTTTTCTTCACCCTTCTTACTTAGACTTTTCTCTCTAATTCCATTACTAATAATAACTATGTTACTTATTTTGTGGCGTGGGGCAGTTATTACCAAGCAAGTACTGAATTGACTGACTGTATGGCTGGTGTTCAAACCAGTGACAATCATTAAAGAAATAAAACCATAATTTACATATGTGATGTTTTCTTTAGAAAGTACAAAGGGAAGCTTGGCTACATATGATCTCTTATCTGGGCACAAGCATTTGCTTTTTTCTTCTTGTGAATGACATTAGGCTGTGAGAATGAGATAAGGGTGCTACAGAAGCTATCAGAATTAAAAGCAAGATTTCTTTCATTATTTCATTCTGCAGCTATTTCATAGGAGATTATGTGGTAGGTTTTGTGCGAGCACTAAAAATACAACAATAAACACTGCCCATAATACCTGACTTCATGGAACTCCAGGGTTTAAAGGGAAAATATTTATAGAATATTCTATTAGGAAGCCAGGGTTTGTTTCCAAAAGACACTGGGAAAGCATATATTCAGGTGCCCTCATCTAACTTGGGGCCATGAGGGAAGACCTCCTGAGGAAATAATGCTCCTGCCAAGAAGATTTCATTAATGAGCCAGGGTTAGCTGAGGGAAGATAAGGCTAGGGTGGAAGTGAGGAAGAGTATTTCAAGTAAAAGAAGCTGCAGGTACAAAAGCCCAGAGAAAAAAGTAGAGCTTTAGAAGAATTGAGAGACGTCTCATGAGATGGGACAAGGGAGGTAGGAGGGTACCAGATCATGGAAGTTCTCCTATATCACCTTGGAGATTTGAGATTTTATCTTGAAGGCAAAGGAAAGGTTTAGACAAGTGACATGATTGTATACTGGCTGACATGTGGAACTTGGGTGGAATTTATTGCCAAGAGGATGCTGAGAGCTTTGTTAATATACTGAAATAGTAATTGGGCAAGAGGTGATTGGCAGTCTAGATCCGAGTGGTGTCTGAGGGAATAATGGATCATTCCTGATGATGGGAACATACTGGCATGAAATAAATCATGAAGAGCCACCTAATTATATAGTCATCAGGTTAGTTATAACTGTGAATTGGAATGAGTGTTGACCAACAAAAACGTCTACACTACAAAGAGTATGAGTTTTTGAAAAATATTGTGTTTGCTTATCAAATTACGCACATAACATGTTTATTACATCAAACACATGTAAGCCAAAAACACATATTCATCGATAATCACATTGCCCTAAGATAACTAATGTTAAATTTTAATATAATTTTTCCAGATACATGAAAATACACAAATTCTGAATACTTTTTAAAAGTAAAGATAGATTTGGAGTTTAAATTATTTGTATCCTTGTGGTGTTTTTTTTAAATTATCAATATACCAAAAACATGTTCCCATAAGATAAAATATTATTTTATAACATTTTAATGATTGCATAATCCAGAGGAATACATATAAATGTTTTTATTAAACTTTATATTTGGTTCCACTTTGATATTTACATTTTAAATTAAATACTAATGTATGAAATATTTTCAATTATGTATATTCAAAGGACAAATTTATAAGATCTAAATGATAATACTTTTCTATTCCTCTAAAATTGTGTCACCAATATAATGGTGCGTTTATTGTGATAAGTTTAGTGTTTAATAAGACTAGTATATGAAAACACTTGCAAATTATTCTAAATATGAGAAACATTTGTATCTGTTATCTTCCCCAGCAAATTGCTCCAGTCTTTTCTGTGGGCTTTACTACCACTTGTTTCTTTCACCCCTGAGTCTTCCTCTGAGCTGTTACCAAAATATCTTAGCTTAAAATTTCATGTTAGTTCATTTTTATGGAATAAAAATCTTCTTGCAGTATACACAATTAAGCACTGAAGTGGCAGCCTAGATTTTTTCTAAGGGCTTTACAGATCAAGAAAACACTTATTTATTTGCAAGAATTATTCAAGGTCAATTTAAACTGTGTTTTCTGTCAGAAAATTTTTTGTTCAAAGAAGTAACACTCATATGTAGTTTAGATCTATGCATAGGGACCACTCTTTGTGGCTTGTATTTGCTCCTTAAGCTATCATACCCACTTTAGAATAGCTTAATATAAAAGCAGGTATTTGAGTATATAAAAATATACATTTTTTTTTCTTCAAATTGTTATACATTTCAACATGTTAAGCTTTAAATGAAACTGAAGGACACTCAAAGTCACTTTTGTCAAAGCCTTTTCCTCTAATAACATATTTGGATGATGCAAGATATATTCTCTTGTGATGTCCAAGTGATTGATAAACTAATTTGTATGGAATATACAATAATTATTCATACTCTGTGGTTTCATTAAATGAGATGAATATGAATTTCTATTTTCTGAATAGGATATAAAGTATGCTAGGCCTATTTTAGATGCTTCAGTGTGCCAAAGTTGGTGTTAAGTTTGGTGTTCATAAATTACTAATCTGGAATAAGAGGTTGAATGTATTTTGAAAACTTAAACCTGTTTCACCTGATCATGTTTAACTAGTTAATAAGAAACATCAAAAAGACAAAACCCTGAGATCAATGGTCATTTTTTGTAAAGCTATTATATGCTGTTTAAATTGGTTGTTCGGGTCTGTCTATAACATAAGTTTAATAACCTAGCTCAAATGCAGATTTCTAATTTTCAATTAACATAGGAATAATTTTGTTTGCTAAAATAAAATAAATGAATGAATGACAAGTCTGAAACATGAAATGTTCTAGGTAGCACTTTTTAAAATTCCAAATTTCAAAAAATCATGTGGCAACTGTATAGCTCAAGCTTTAAGTATTAACTTTTAACCTTTGACCTTACAGATTTTAACCAATGAAATGTCTCTTTAAACTTTAAAGGAAACAATGATAACGAGCGCCTGGCGATTGCTAGACAGCGAATTCCATATCGACTTGGTCGAGTAGTTGATGAATGGCTACTCGACAAAGGTAAAAAACATTGATTAAAACTTCAAATAAAAAAATAATTTGAACATAACCAAGTAGTACTTCATTGTAACACTAATAAACATAAAAAATAAATTTTCCGTAAAACTAAATTAAAAACAAATTTAAAACAGTAAAATATAGATAGTAATATTTGCATACCTTGTATAATAATTTCTATACATTTTTAGACGTACCAGCTGTTTAATAATCTTACCCTGTTAATTTAAGGTTAAAGGGACTGTTAAATATAATCCACTAACTCAATCTATGAAGGTACTCACAGCAAGCATTAACCCAAAATGATAAATCATTCATAGATTATATTACATGTTCCAGCCTCTAAATTATTAACTAAAATATATGTAGTTCTGATATATTTGTTATGGTCCTGAAAAAAACAACAACTCTTGGTTTAAACTCTAGGCATCTTAAATAGTGGGCAATATGGATTGCCGGTCAAAATGAAGTCCCTTTAACGTTTGCAACCTTCTAAGAGCATTGGGAACAAGTCCTAATTAAAAGTGAACTTAAAGTTGTGTGCATGCTTTTTATGAGCAGAGAGCAATCTGCTAAAACTGGATACTCAATTCGATGATATTGGTACTGTTGCTGAGGATTGCTGTTTGATGGAAATGAGCCATAATTTCTCCATCGGTTTGTGTATCATTCCTGAAGCCGCTTTTTACATCTGAAGCTATTTTTTTTCATTCTGTTTTGTTTTAATAGACTTGCTGAAAGCCAATCAGAAAAATATTTTTGGAATTTTTTTGCCTCTGACATGCTCAGTGTAAACCATGCATTTCTTTTCAGTGTGATTGCCGGAAAAATAGAGTAAATCAAATAATAAAGGACTATTGCCTTCAAAACAATAAACGTTTCTAAAGAATAGCATATAGATACCTGTGGCCATTAAGTGAATTATGAAATTTTTACTAGAAATTTAAAATTAGATACCAGTTGCTCTAGATTAGTTTTTACCCGTGGTAATTTTAGAGGGACAAATACTTGAAATGTTAGATAGATCACATTTTTTAATTAGACAATTTAGACTTAAGAGACCAACAGTATAAGACCTTGAGGTAAAAGGGAAAGGGATCCACTAAAAATTGATTTACAATACGTATCTTTGATTGGTCTTTTAGCAAAAGCACTACATTTACAATAAGTTGAGAACTTACAAGTATTTGCCAATGATTATGCATTTCATGGACACCTCATTTATCAGCAATGAATTATGAGTCAAATGCCTCTCTTATAGTTTATTGCTCTCATTATCCACCCCATGAAAGATCTGTTTTATCATCCTTTGTAGAATGTAGAGTTCACAATCAACATTTTTGCATGTATGTAATATTATTTTTACAGGGCGTCAGCTCACAATCTTCAATAGCCAAGCAACCATAATAATTGGCGGGAAAGAGCAGGGCCAGCCCTTCCAGGGCCAGCTCTCTGGGCTTTACTACAATGGCTTGAAAGTTCTGAATATGGCAGCCGAAAATGATGCCAACATCGCCATAGTGGGAAATGTGAGACTGGTTGGTGAAGTGCCTTCCTCTATGACAACTGAGTCGACAGCCACTGCCATGCAGTCGGAGATGTCCACGTCCATTATGGAGACCACCACGACCCTGGCCACGAGCACAGCCAGAAGAGGAAAGCCCCCTACGAAAGAACCCGTTAGCCAGGTGAGTATACGGATTTCATTCCTTCATGCCGGACCCGGGGTTGTGAAAGCGGGCTTTACTGCATGGGCGTCTTTTCTAAATTGTGATTGTTTCTGATCTCAGGCATTACGGCTTCCTTTGAGATTTGTTTAATATAATGCACTCAGTTTGACTATGAAATGTGTATGTGCTGTTGATTTGGGATTTGGACTTTGATAAATTGCTTTGTGTTAGTTTACTCACAGCTTGCTGATAGTCTTGATTCAGTAACCTTGGTCTAGCTCAAGCTGAGGGGATTGCCTGCTAATTACATAGGATTTTCACTTTTGAAGTTAAATGAACAAGTTAATTAAGGAAGTATTTGAAAGGTCTCATTTGTTCAAGCTTGGTATTTCATTGAAATAAAATAAAAGCAAATTTGAAAATCTTAAAAGAACAACTGCTTGTAAAAGATCTATTGTATTTGGAAGTCTTAACGTTTTGAGTTGGTACCCATGTGGCTCTCATGGTGAATGACAGGTTTACTCCATTACTGTCTATAAAAAATACTCACTGTTAGTTTATCTGAGGACAAAGACCCAAAATATGGTACTTAAAATCTGTCTTGGACTAACATATTTTGTATGATATGTGGTTAACTGCCCTCACTTAGAATACACTTCAGTAAGTTTATTGTTCAATCTTATGTCTATAATTTTTTTGGAGGAAAAAATGTAATGTTGAATTTGTACAACTTGGAAGCATATTGATTCAATCACGATATACTTCCTGATTGTCTAACATGCATTAGTTTAAGCGTTACACATTGGAAGAGCAAGAAAAGAAACAAACCAAACAAACAAACAAAAACTACCTGCCTCAGAGAGCTTACATTTTACGAAAAAGCTACTAGAATGCTGTTGAAATGCTACTACATTCCTATTGACATTTACAGCCTTTGTAGATATTCTGTGAATTCTTTCAGAATCGTGTGTTCTTCTTGATCCAAAATGGATTGTTTCCTTTCATTTTGTTTTTAATAGTGTCTTCAATAGTGTCTTCATTTTGTTTTTAATAGTGACTTCAATAGTGCCATATAAAGCTTTTCCAAATACATTACTTTTCTGGAAACCTACATTCTAAAAACATAAGACTGATAAAAATTAGTTTTTAATTTGCTTCTATTTCAAAGGTTTGAAGCAGATCAATTGTCAGAATTAGGGAGTAAAAGAAAGTGAATTCTGTTGTATCAGCACCCTGTCTGCTACTTAGCATAAGTTTACCAGAGAAAGAAGAAACTAGATTCTAATTTTTACTTTGAAGGAAGAGGTGTGGGGAACAGAGTAGAGGAAGAGAAAGTGTCCTAGGAGAAAAGAGGTGATAAAAAAATTATAAATTCTGTAAATCCATAAGTGTAGTGATGGATATATGTGTCTATGTGCAGCATTTTCTTCTCAGTCTCTTTCTCTCTGCATTCGGCTACAAAGTAAAATGGGCAGTCTTACAGGTTATTTATCAATATATATTTATTGATCGCCATACCCTGGTTTAGCACTGGGATTACATTAGCAACAACAAACAAAAAACCTGCCCTTATGGAATAACACATTTTTGTAAGAATGTGTGCTTAGAGTGTAATCATTGTGTTGATTTTCTCTGTCTTGTTTGGGTTTATAAGATTGTTGACAATAACAGCCCCTTGGATAAAGACTTGTGATTTTAGACAGACTAATGCATGCTCAGCCACTCCATTTGATATTTTTTTCTCATACTTCACTGGTGATTAGTTGGTGGTCGTTGGTTCAATGTTTATTTAACCATACACAAATTAAAGTGAATCAGATCCAGAAGAAATGAAACACAAAGCAACTGATAGACTATTTCCTTTAAATAAAATAATTCATAAGAGGACACTCTAGGATAATCAGAGTTGGAAACATTCCCATGAATAAAATTTGAAAGAACCAGATATTTTTCTTAGTGGTTTTGTTTCATCATTAATGAAATTATAGTTGCCTAAGTTCTTAGATAAACTGGATGTATCCTAAAATAAGGAAAAAATGATCAGCTTTGTTGTTGTGTATTTTATCAATTAATAACTGCTATATATTAAGAAATTATATTTTTTTAAATGTGTAAAATAGTTATTTTATTTGCAAGCTAAACACCTACAAATGAAATAAAAATTTATTCATTTTATAATATTAATTAATGTAAAAGGAAAACAGTTAACTGATCATTAATTGTCATTTAAAAGAGCCTCTTTTATTATAAGCTATTACATGTTTAAAGATAGCAGTGCTTTATAGAGGCAAATGATCTAATCAATTAGTGATTATTTGGTTCATTTGAGAAAGTATTGATTTCAATAAAAGACTATTAGTTTCATTAAAAAATAGATATGTTGAATTTTTAGATTTTTAACAGACCAAATATAGCAATTATATAATATGATTATAAGCATTTATGGCAACAGTGTCTTAAAGTTGAACAATTAGTTTTTAAAATTCCCTTTTTAATAATGATATGTATGTGATTACAGACAATGTGTGTATGTGGGGTAACTCCAAGGAAAGAAAGGAAGTTTTTTATTTTTGAGTAACAGAATGATTTGTTACAAATTTTCTTTACCTCAAATTTGATTTTATTGATTTTTAAATTGCCCTCCCCAACTATAGAGATAACTAATATATGTAGAATTTCAAGTATTTCTTCTTTAGAGTTGTCAAAATCTTAGAAGTTTAAATGATATGAAATTCTAATTCTAGGACTGTAACCTTTGACCCATTTTTGCAGGTTGGATAAAGCATCTTCTTTTAAACCCTGTGTGTAGTACAAACCATCTGGATGTGACTTTATCAACTGCCTTACTAAATTGTGTACCAGGAAGGGTCATTTTATTTTTCAAAACCCATCTTGGACTGTTTTCTCAATCAAAGTGTATTTTCCTCGGTGATAACACTGAGCCACTTTAGCTACAATGGCACTGTACCTTGGGGTGATTGCATGTTTTAGAACTATGGAAACAGATTTTTGGTCAAGCAGAATTAAATTGGATTCATTTCAGATAGATGAGATGAGGTTTTTTTCAGCCATCCTGCAGGGCAAGTAGTAGGGGAGAAATGTATTTTCAGTTTTGAAGGAGTCACAGAACATAAAATAGTATTCATCAAAATGTCATCCTATAAGATCTTGTTTACATTACCACCTAAAAGCAAAAGTCTTTAAAAAGAAAAAAAAGTTTTTTTCCCTGAGTGATGAACAATTTTCAGACTGTGTTTACTTTAGAAAAGCATGATTTATATGATGAACTAAAGAGTACATTTTCCAACTCTTGTGATTATATGGCCTTTTATGTGAAAATAACAATATTAAGAATACCTTTTATATGGATTACATAAAATTCACAAAGTTAGTTTTACTTGGGATATATAATAGTTAAATGTTTCCATAAGACACACTCATCTCAAAAAAGAGAAATTTCCTATTATGCTAATCTCAGAAAGTGATGATTGCAAATATTTGGTAATATCAAGATTTTCAGAATGCTGAGAGCCTTTGGGGGAGGGGCAGGCATTTCAAGCAAGATCGTTGGCTGTTAAATGATCCCTCATCTTCTGAATAATCTGGGAGTGTCTTATGGACATATATGTAGCTTTATATAAATGAGTAAAGGTGAGCCAACATGCAAAGGGCAACATTTACTCCCTTTGGTTGACAGTCTGTAAAGAAAGGAGAGTGGTGCCGTGCGGTTTGCTTTAAGACCAAGATTGTGACATTTCTTCTGGCCTAGGTTTTGTATCACATTTTGTGATCTTTCAGGTTTTTCCTTCAAGAATATTTTACAAGCTATATACATACTATAAAGAATGCATACTGTATACATACGACAAAGGATCCATTGTAATGCCTTTTGCTATAAGGGGGTGCAATATAAGGGAAAGGGCACCGTGAGTCAGGGGACCTGGCTTCCACGTTCAACACAATCACTACCTTGTAGTGTAACTTAGACAAGCTGCTTAATTAACCTCACTGTACTTTGGCCTGCTACCTCTCTATAATGAGTGGACTGAACGAGGAATGTCTTCAGTTGTACTGAGCTCTAAAATTTCATTGTCTCTGGCAAAGATGGTCTTAGTTAGGTCTTCTGATGATGATTTAATGAAGCATATATTTCATTTTACACAGGGTGCCCATGCCTCTCAGTTGGCCTGTATCACCCTCTTGGGTACCTGGTGTCCCAGTATTAATAGCATTCCTTTTTGACTCTCAAGAGCATCCCATTTTAGTCTATTAATTATATTGCCCTGTACCTGTACAGCATATATAAATCTATCTTTGCAAGAAAATCACACTTCATAAGAGTAGTAGTTAGTGAAGCCCTCTCCTTTATATTCCAAACAGAAACTGACTCAGTTATCTTTACCTGGTTTCAGGAATCTATAGGGTTTTTCATCCCATTTCAAAAATCTTAAGAAAGGAGAGAAAAGAAAGCTTTGAGAGAGTCTGGTTCTTGACTGGAGAGACAATGTTTGCAACTGTTAGTAAGAACTTAAATTACAGAGTGGAGCCAAATCAGCAAATATGAGCGAAATGAAATGGAACAAGTCTATGGTTCCAGTTAGGCTTTTTTTTTTTTTTTTTCCAGAGTGGAGTTAGCAAACCTATTCAAGAAAAGGAAATATTGAGAATTTAAAAACATTGCTAGGTTGTCAGAAAGATGTATATTTCACATATGCAATGTCCTACAGAAGTCAATGGAATTTTATTCCCGTGGAATGTTCCACAAAGAAACCCAACTAGCATTCAAGCAAGAAGAGTATTTGAATACATTGGATACTATTTTTGCTTCCTGGCAGATTTCAATATACTCATGAAAAATTAATACTATTTGCTTAAAAATGTAAAGAGGGTGCACAAATATTCCCATGAAAGTTAACAAAATACATTTTGTAACTTCAAAGAATATTTATTTATTTATTTATTAAATATATCTTTATTGATTTCAGAGAGAGAAAGGGAGAGGAAGAGAGAGAGATAGA